ATTGTACACTACTAATCGCGTGCGCTGATGTGCGAGACACTCTCATATTAATAATTGGTGTGACGACATTAAGCCTCACTCAAATGAGTGCGAAAAAATTAGTTTGGCCTCGGGCCAATTATTCCCAGGTGCTTCACTGTTATTAAGTTGACACCGAAAGACGCGAAAGATTTGGCTGAGGATGCCAGATATAGGCATCCTTTTTAGAATGCCAATCCTTGGCTTTCTTTTTCAGTTAAATAATATGTCACACTTGTATAAGTCATAGCTAAATTTCAATTCAATTCCGTATTGAAAATTTAGATAAATTAAGATAGCCCTTTTTTTAAAAAGAAATTCAGAGTGATCATTTTGCAAGATAATTGTTCAAACCATATGGCTGAAAATACGGGGGAGGCCTATCACTCAAATAACTACTGAACAATCACCTAGTACTACATTAAATAATGAGTTCTTTCCCAAAAAGTGTTTTGAGACGTGATCCACGTCGTGTTAGTTTTATCCGGTTTTATTCCATGCTCTCACGTGTTTGTTTCCACACTGATTGCAGACTACATCGGCGACGAGGACAGTCTCTCTCCGCCAGTGATGTACACCCTTGTGGTGACAGCTGCGCTCCTTTTACTCGCTGGCCTGGTCATCCTGTGCCTTGCCTACCGGCGGCGCCAGGACGGCGCCCCCACAGTGGGCGTTGTTAAGGGCGGGCGCAACCAACTCGACATCAAGCACGACCAGTGCTACGTCGTCTCGTACACGCTCAAATCGGCAGCAGATTGCACCGAAAGAAAGCCGGACATTCTAGAGACCCCGCGAGGAAATGGTAAGTAGCGTGCCGTCAACGCGTTATACAAGCCTAGAGTATTTGCGTCGCGATAAGCACTTTACGTTTGTATGTGCAGAGACCAAAGCGGACCTTGACGGATTCGGCCCGACTCGGCCCGACTCATTGTTCGGGGTCTCTAGTTCGGCGTCTGGCATCGGCCTGGGCCCGGCTGGCAGCCTCGGCTCAGCTCTTGGGTCGGGGATCGGCTCGGGGCCCGGGCCAGGAGTGACCGTCTCTGGTTCCGGCTCCAGTGGATTGGGTCCAACGGCGTCGGCCAGCAACAGCAGCTTCCCCTACCCTGCGCCCAGCAGAGAGCACCCGAGGGAGCACACCATATCACACGTGAGTTGACCGCGCCAGACCGCCCCTCGGCGGTTATCAGAGGGGAGGGTGGGGTAGAGGAGGGCTCTATTGCCTTGAGCAGAGCTGACTTGGCCACGCCGCTACACCGTGGGGAAACATGGGCCTACCTGAAACTGCGGGAAGCAAAAGTAATCTAAGCAGCATGCTTTGTTACAGATGTCATCTTCGCCGGGGATTACGTCACCCCTGTCCGGGACCGCACCAGGGCTGGGTCTCCTGGCTGCCTGCGCGCCGGGGCAGGGGCCTGGGCCCGGCAGCGGCAGCCGGTTCGGCAACCACGTCGACGGCATCGTGGGCAACGGGACCCTGAGGAGAACACCGAAGGAACCCTTACGGGACGCGCCGCCCCCGCCGCCTCTTCGTGATTTGCTGACCCCGCACAAGGACCGACACTTAGCTGACTCTATCCCCGGGCCAGAGAGCTGTGTCTGATTCACTGAGAAATCAGTGGCAAAGTGTGGTCTTTTCTACAGTGCCTACGGTGCGAATCGTGGTGACAGAGCCACTGTAACATGTACCTGGGAGTTGTCCACAAATATATCCATGATTTTGGATACTTTCACAAATTAAATTTAGTTGGACGGTCAGTATTGAATTTCTGATGTAGTTGTATAATTGTAAAAATGTTTTGGTCGTCTAATTAAAATTAATTTGTTTGAACTGCTGACGGATACTATGTTTGCCAAGTGTCACTGAAAGTGGCTACATGTTTCTATTCTGAAGTTGCCCACTGCCGATTAAATCTGTATGAACTATTGTTGCACTGTTGTCAAAGATTAAGACCGTATATTGTGAGAAATCTAAACATGAACTGTTGAGATCACAATATCATATGAGAAATTAACACAAATTACGCCGGTCTTATAATTGTTTTACGTAACAGTGTACAATTTGTCAGAACTCTCTAGCTCCATTTGCTTCCATTATGTAAAGTGTAAAATAAAAAGGACACTTTCTTTTAGCATCTACAATAATCATATTTGCAGTGTTCCCATGTTTACAGAATAACGCACTGCAATGCAGGGTTCTAAAGAAACTTTGCATGTGAACAATTAAAACTTCCACTTTCATATCTGAACTGAAATTTATCTCGTGCAATGATCTCGCTCGCTGTGAAGATACATATAGCGTGAAAGGATAAAACCTTGACTGTAATTGTTTTCCTTCTAGGCTGAAAAATATTCCCCGTGCTCTGAATCTATTTTTCTACATATAATTGGATGACTTTGCTTAGTCCCAAGTGATATCACCAAAAAATGGCAATCACCTCATGATTAGAAGTATAAGTGGCCAGGATAAGTGATCCCATGCTGGAAATGGTTCACGGCATGCGTTTTTGTTTTTTATTAATGAATAAAGAGAATATATATGTAAATATTTTGTTTGTACATACAGTATAATGACATAAGTGTAAATAACATATTTGTACAAATTAAACGTTTTGTAAAACATGCTTTGAGTCTATTTGCATTGACTTGCCCCCCTTCCTTTCTCTCCCAGGTTAGGTCTGAATCACCCCCTCCTCCGACCACAGCTGGACAGCTCAGCACTTCGCAGAGGCTTATCGGGCCGGGTCTGATACTTCTTGGCAATGAGGTCATCTTCTCCCCCATCCGCGGCCAATACCCCACTCCCTCCCCTGCACGCCCTCTCCAACTTCTCTTTTCTTTTGTCGGTTCTAGCGTCTGGGATCCCGCATGGTCAGTCGAACCAACCTCCAAAAAAGTCGGTGGCGAAAATAGTGAGGACCCACTCCTACCGTATTCCATTCCAGTGCGGCTGATTACAACGATTTGCTGACAAAGACGAAGGCTCAGGCTCAAATAGTCGTTACAAAAGTGAGACATGCAACACCTTGCACAAAAATAAATAAGCTTTTCTACCTTCTCCACATCACGTTTGCAGGCACTCGTTTCAACTTCCTCTAAATTTATTTAGAAAAAAAAAACACCTCACGCGGTGGTTTCTATGACGGTCATGATGAGGCAAGTTTTGATGTGGCATGTGAACAAGTTTTATGAACAATAACGCACCGGACCGTGGCGGGGGCGGAGCTTGGGGTGGAGCGGAGCGCGGAGCGACGCAGAGTGCTTTTTACCGGGCAAGCGACGCTCGTTCGTGCCGTGGACTTGGCGGAAATTAGTTGTTGTCTCCAAAAGTAGACTGTCGAGGCGGCAGCAATGCATCAGGGCCTTAACCTAGTAGAATGAGTGGGACGAGGAGGGGACACTGAAGGTAGAAAGGGGACTGGTGAGGCCTAGGCTGGGTGCCATACGCGTACCATAACGTGTTTGCTAACAGCGTTTAAGCATACCCAGGTTTGCTACAGTTATTCATTGACAGGCTTCCATACCCTTATCCTCACTTTTGAAATGATAAAACAAGGAAGCTATGGTGCACAAAATTATGGGGCGAAAGATTAATTTTGTGCTAAGATATGAACTTGTTCTTAAAATTAAATTATTACCATAAGAGTGGTAAGGTTATCCAGAAAGTACGCCCGTTAGTTACTGTTATCAAACTGCTAAATTAAACAAATGCGAGGTCTCATAGCGCCTGATAGATAGGCAACACAATGCCTGCAGTCCATGCGTGCATTGCGGGCTGGCCTACCCCGAGTCTCGCAGGCGCCGTGCTCCTATGAGCCATGGGTCACCGATGCTGAGAAAAATAGACAAACTTTGTGGACGATCCCAATGAACAAACGCCAGTAATGCGGTCTTTTGCGGAGATATATTTCCCTCCATACCTCCCAAACCAAAACGGATCGTACTCGAAAAATACCGTAATGATCTCCCTATGCGCACCATCAGCTTCAAACAATATCTACGAGCGAAACAACAAGCCAACGTAGACCGAGAGAGCGCCTCCCAAAGGAGAAATCTGGATTCAAACCGTAAGGTTCCTTTTTCAGTGGACTTTTGCTGACTGTCGCCGAGACAGATATCGAGCATACTGTGCGTTCGCTACCGTGCTCCGCTGCAGAATAATTGCTCACTTGTTTTACCATTGTAGTGCTAGACACGATGGGTATCCCCGACTCCCAAAATAGGTGTACAACGAGTTTGCGAGTTGAATAAGCGAGTCAGAAGCGATTTATTCGAAATTTATCGCGACTTTTCGCGAGTTGGGAGAGGGCAAGTGTAGAACGAGTTGGCTAGTAGAGTATCCCTCGGCTACACATATGTATTGCATTTTTTTATGTGTGAGACACCTGATCTAATATTGCACTTATGCAACTGTTGTCTATATCACACTGGAGTTTCTAGAGAGTAGACGGCCAGATAGCCTCGAGGATGAAAGGGAGACAGAGGTTGGACGTGCATAGGCAATGAGTAGAGACCACAAAGAAACTCGGAGATGAAAAAGGTATGAATTTGGGGCGGTGTAAGTTAGTTGAAGAGACGCTGCGTGAAAGGCGGTGCAGGGAAAGCAAGACAGGTGGCGAAAGGGAATGGAGCACCTCGCTAGAGAGTAAAGCAACGTATACCAGGGCATGTCATCAGCTATTTAAGATTCAGAAACCGTGGGGCTTGGAAATATGCCCCACCCCCCGACATACAGAGGAAAGGCCCGCTCGAGAACGAGGACCAAAAAGCAGCCTGAAAGAAAGTCACGGGAGCAGGGAGAAAACTTTGATACTAGTCGAAAAAAAGACGTAAACAAGAGGACGAAGCGGTGGCGAACTGAGAGTCTCAACACACCTTTCTTTAAAACGTGATAGGTAGCAAGGGGGTACGAATTCAGTCACGGGAGGCCCACCTAAAAGCGGGCTAAGTATTCTCAGCTACCAGAGGATGATTCACTGGAAAACCAAAGGTGCTCAATACCTTTTTGTAGAAAAGCTACAGCACTAATTCTTTTGTAATGGCACTAAAATTGCCAAAAATAGCACCTTTGGGGGCCAGAGCACCTCTGTACAAGAACTACTCCACTAACGGACCGAAAAAGGTATTAGGTTGCACCTTTGTTTTTCTAGTCTACCATGCCACTTTAAAGGCTAATACTATTGTATCACTAATAGCCTAACGTTGAACAAGTGACCTATGCCCAACAAGTACACGACTGGATGCTCTATCGTGTCATGCATTTCTGCTGAAGCAAATAATGAATCCCGGAGAAGGCAGGGGAAAAAAGAGGTGATAGTAATAATGATAGCTCAGATGGACAGGATGAGGTTCCGTGGCAAAGATCGTGTGGGTGATAACAATACCATCTGCTGCTCACGGGAGAAGAACGGCAGTAATGCAGACAGCATCTGTCTTTATTTCCCTCCAGCCATGCGTATCAACTTGTCTAAGTCTCACTCGGAGGTGCCGCGTACGCGCGCGCCCCGCCCCATCGCCGTGTCTTTTTCTCACTCGTTTCCTCACATGCCTCTCCTTTTGTCCCAATCTTGCTTGATTCAATAAGTACGGATTGCAAATTTCACAATATTAAATAATTGTAATTGAGCGATGGAAAATTTTCCTGCGCCCGATACGACTATATTTTAGTGTTTCATACAATTTTATGCGCAGACTATATGACCAGACCATAACATGTGCTAATTATTAATGACCTATACAGCTATACACTTTGCATTACCCACGACAGAGTGTCCATTAGCAGGGAAAGGTCATTCAATGCTGCTAACTTTTTTTAGCTATCTTTATAAAGCTCCTGGAGTTAGCTGTGCGGCTTAAAACTTAAAAAATAATGAATCGGTGGTTTCCCTAACAGACGCGGTATCGTAGATCACTGTGTATGTGTACGCGGTCCGAGAAAGAAACGACTTTAAAAAGCAGACATAGCTGACATCCAACCAAGCTAAACCCGTTTTCGCCTCACGGAAAAAAATTAGTCGGCTGGCACGACCGAGATATCAGTTAACTCGGTGATGACTGAGAAATCTATTGCCACAGCTCACCGAAATCGGCTGCAGCAGCTGATTATCGACAAACAAAACGATTAGCTGTGATTACTAACTGCAATTCGATGTCACACCCAATAAGTCCGTCAGTTATTAAAATTTATAAAACCAGGTCCAATGCTTTACAGTACGTACGTGCTGAAAGAATGGTGTGTTCCATATAAAATTGAGATCTATAATCCTATGCAGGATCAAGTCAAAAATTACGAAAAAGAGCGAAGGCGTCAGCACAATGGCGATAGTTTCATACCTTTGTCGTGGTCCACGCCCGTGGAGCAAACGTTTGACATGGGAGCGGAATCTCATACTGTATCACTCAACTGGTACTGCCGAGACCACCCGCGCAAAATTTTGTTCTCAGATCCTTGAAGCGCACTCTATCGGCAGCGGCGGAAGATGCCTCTCCGATAGATGGCGCTTCAGCAACTCAGAGCGCAGTCTTTGCGCGGGCGGTCCAGCGACCGACAGTCTTAATAGAGGCTAAGCTGGGCCACACTTCCTTTCTTGCACGGGGCGAAATTCTCGTTTCTCGCACTCGGTTACCGGAATGTCTGTCGATGCTCAACGGCGACCTTACTGAGAGTAAACTTTAAAATTTAACATAAAATCCCACCAAACCATCCAAGACGAAATTTGGGAGCAGCTGCGACTAAAGCCCTTACTATTTGGCAACAAATATCGGAACTGTGGAAACGAATTTTGTTTGGTAGGGCACTCAACGCTAGGCGAGTGCCCAGAACTTACTGTGTTGATTGCTGCGCACGATTTGTTAGTTACAACAACCTACTTTCTGCAACTCACACGAAATAACTGTGGGGACTAAAGATATTCTGTGTGGGAACGAAGAATTCTGTTTCGAGAATAAACCCGAATTACTCGCTCAAGCTCACAGAGGTTTGATTCTGCAACCGAAATTTTCTTGGGTCTGTTAAACAGAACGTCGGTTGTCGGAACCGAAATACCCATTGCGACGACGAATTCCGTCAGTCATCACGCGTATAACCGATTTGTCAGTTGTGGCAACAGATTATCGGTTGCGATGACAAACTCATTTTTTCCGTGTAAAGTTACACAGTAAAACGCCCCTTTCTTCACGAGAGCCTACTGTACAGACTCTGATAACGGTTTCCGCGGGGCGAGGACAGCTGCAGCAGCCCAGTCATCTCAAAATAAACACAACAAACAGTGGAGCAGCTTATCGCTGGCTATTCAGGCGGCATGGCAAATAGCGCGGTGCTGACCTGCCAGCGGGGCGAGCGGGGTTGAGTATCGCGCCGCTCATTGTCAGCAAGCCTTTTTGAAGAGGAATCACGCATGGCAGATTCCCTTTTTTTCAAATATAGTAGTCGTGTGTGTGTATTGTGAGCACGGCTGCGTGTGTTCGTTCGATACGCCGCTGGTTGTGCATTTTCTGATACTCTTCAAACAATAGCCATGGCGATCTGCGCTGGTTTATCTCCACGTCGTCTGGCTCTCGACTGGCAGTGTTCGGATTGACACAAAATCTTTCCTACGCACCCTTGCTCTGCCGCTCGACAGGA